CTCCAGTGGGCTAAAATATGCCATTACTGGTAGGGAAGCAGCTGGGTTCCCAGCTTTGCAATAAACATTGGTCACCCATGAGAACGGATAATGAGATAGTAAAGTTTTGCATGACCAGCAGGCCTAAAAAAGGCGAAGACAGCAGAAAGTAACCACTATTTGCAGAGGATATAAAATGAATTTTAAACATGTGTCCCTAGAGCAGAATGCCCAAACTCCTCTCATTATGCTGTATGCAATTTGCTTAATCTTCAGAAATGCTCACAACTGGAACCTTTGATGTGCTGGGTTCCATTGAAAATGAGAAGGTATGCCTAACTGGAAAAAATGAATTAGAGTCCTTTATTAGTCAGATATCTTGAGCTAAAATACAGGTATAACCACACTGCATATATGTATTTTGGAGACTTATAGAACTAAATAATTTACCAGGTTCAGATATAAATTGTGTTGGGTGCAATCCTGCACACCCACCTCCCATTTATTTTCCACCTAAACTCTTACAACTGACATCTTAACCATTTTACTCAAATGTTCTGGAGGTGTAAAATAAAAACAAAACAGCTGCACATGTAATTGAGCATTTTGCCAAAAATGTTATTACTTTGAGAAGAAAGCTCACATAGTAATCTAATCATATAAAGGTACCATAAACATAAACAGCTTCCTAATCTTTTCACTTGAGCATCCCCCTGAGATGAGAATGAATAGCTCTTGTAATTACCAGGGAAGACAATATAACAACAGATGTCTATCTTCACTAATTGTCTAAAGTTCCTGGAAATTTACAAAATTATTTATCTCACTAAGATTCTTTGCTATGAGTTTTATAGATTAATTATCCATCACACTAAATATGATTATCCCCTCCTGACCCAGGCATTGAGTAGTAATTGAGGGTCCTAAGGTGGTGGTACTGTCACTGAAAGCAAAAAACCTATCGAATAATCAGTCATTTCTTTCACGTAATCCTGTTTGCTCACAAAGACTGTACAAACTCTTATTTCTCTGGTTGGCAGCAAACCAATATCTCTCCTTTCTGCTTTGTTACTTCATTTTATTATACTCTGCCTTCCTAGAGCCATATACTCACCATTTTTATTCTGTGTCGCTGGCTTCCTCTTCTTTGTGTTTGATTCTGTTATCTTTGTCATGCCTTTTTCTCCTATCTAGACACCTGTACTATCAAAAAAATCAGTACCCAGCCTCTCTGCTTCCCTGTGAAACTTCTTGGGTCACGAGGTTGACACTGTCTCATATTTTGCTTTGATTTGCTGTGATCGGATGGTGCATATTCTGCCTCAAGTAGCTGTTTCCTTTGAGAAACCTGGCTGCTTTTCATGGTCTAGCTGAACAGAAAGCAATCGCTACACTCACTAACACAGCTATATCAATGTAGTTCTTGCTGTATTTTAATATATTTTCAACTTTTAGAACATGTTTTTATTCTCATATTAAATAGAAATAGTCTGCTTTCCTTCTCATCATCTACCCTTTTACTTTCTGAAAGGTTCCTTGCACTATTCTTTCCTTTCCAAATATGAGTCTCCTCATCATTTACAAAATCACAGAATATTTTGATTTGGAAGGGACCCACAAGCATCATCAAGTCCAGCTTCTGGCCCTGCACAGAACATCGCAAATAATCACATCATGTTCCTGAGAGCACTGTCCAAATACTTCTTGAACTTTGTCAGGCTTAGTGAAGGTTAGAGTTCTTTCTTTCAGTGAAAGCTTAGTAGTGACTTTTACCTATGCCATCTCTGTGACACTCCTAGGTATCTTTTTGAGATGAGGGAAACTGAATGAACCCATCATTTAAAGAGAGAACATGCTATCCCTATATAGCCATTGATTATTTCTTTCCTCTCCTTCTCTAGGGCTATTTGTTTTTTGGATTTCCACTGAAAGCTGAAAGTTTAGCTGTGATTATATAACATAACAACATATAATAATAAGCCATTATTCTGTAATAAACATCTCAGAGTCTTTTATCTTCCCCACATATTCCAGAAGCCACAGAATCACAGAATATGCTGAGTTGGAAGGGACCTACAAGGATCATCGAGTCCAACTCTTAGCCCTGCACAAGTCCTCCTTACAACTCAATTATCTTCTTACTACAGTGTTTTGGTTTTTTTTTCTTCCACACACTTCAGTGCTTGTTGCAGGAATTAATTCCCAGCACTCCAGCTATAGCTGGAGCCCCAGAGAGCAGATAGCTGAACAGAATCCATGATGCGCATCTCCCAGAGTGGGCATACACTGGGAAAGTGCTTCCCACAGCACCATTTGGGACATACAGCAAAACTGATAGGGTTAAATTAGCCATTCCTCGAGGCTCTCTACCACACAGTTACAGCTGCATGAGAACAGAACTGTGCAGAATTTACTCAAGCAAGAAGGACATGGCTACATGATGTGGACTCTCACACCAAATGCTTCCGCCCTATGTATGAGGCACAGATTCAGACAAACACAAATATTTATTACTTACATTCTCAGAACAGTTATGAAGAACACTTGACTTTTCTACCTTTAATGAACAGGAACTATGGATGCTCAGCACTCTGGACAACATTAGTTTTATCCATAGAGATGATAAGGAACTCTATGTGCATTTGAAGAGCAGAAGAGATATGGCATGGCTCACCTTTCAATAACAACATTTCTCTCAGCTTGAACTGTATTTAGAATATTTCTGTTCATAAAATTAATGCAAGAGATATTTCTATCTTGTCTATCCAAGTGTTTACATATTAAAATATTGTCAATTATCAACAATGACAGTGTGTCTGTTCCTCCTCTGGAGGCAGAAAGTATTAATATACATTCATTAGCAGTGTTATTAATGAGACAATGCTCAATGTAATGTGCATGTCAATAAACCTGACATTCATCATCTAATGATGGTTTCTTTTTAGAGAGAAAAAAGTGAGATTTGGGAGTTCACGTGAGATGTGGGACCCAGTTGGTCAACCCCTTGTCTGTTAATTATAATTCCTTTTCCTAATCCAACAATGGCAAGGTATAGGGTTTACAAAAGAAAGACCAACAAGATCATTGACTTTCAAGCAATGTTTATAAAGAAGCTCCGGTTACTGTCCACAATGCAATATCAAACCTAATGTTGAAGACTCATATTTTCTAAACAGCAGATCTTGGTCTACCTCATGGGATGTTTTGTATTCTTCATATCCCACCCGTTCATACAACAACTTTGTTTTTATATGACACCTAATACTGACTCCCTCTAAAAATCAGTTCAACTCTTTTCAGAGACCAAGTTTCCAGGCTCCATAGGGTACTGTTATTTTCATTCACTCTTTTAACATTTGGACCGTGATGACTAACACAGTGCATGATTGCCCAGAACATATTAAGTATTTGGTATTTGTAAATTTATCACAATAAATTTATGATCCATGCTGGGGTAAGCAGGCTGCGACCCCTGCGCCTGCCTGCCCTGCCCCGGCCGTGGGGTCGGCGGGGGAAGGGGCACCCCGGGGAAATCGAGACCCTCTGGGTCGGCCGAGCTGGGTCAGGCAGGATCAGACAACAGGTTTTGTTTGATCTGAGATATTACAAATAACCCTGGATTTTGCAGTAAAAACAGTGAGTATTAGAAGAGAATAAAAAATAAAAATATCAGCTGTGGCGGCAGTGAGAGTGCAGCCGGGGCACACGCTGAGAGTCTGCTGCTTTACATGACCTGGTGTTAATTTATTTAATTTGCACTGTACACTTGGCATTTGCTGGCCACAACGCAAGCTGTACATTTGCATTTATGGGCAGACAAAAGAGATTATCAACTTCTCCCGGTAGAAATCAAGTACAGAACTTCGACTCATTTTCAAGCCCCATCCTAAAAAAGAGTGTCAAGGAAAGCAAGGTGTCCAGAGAGTACTGCACAGGATAATGCAAGAGTCAGTTCCGAAAGATACAGAAAATCCAGAAATCGGGGACCAAAGACACCACTTTTAGGATTCAAAATCTTGGTTTCGATACCGACAATTTTTCTGGCTTCGGAATGCTTGAATTAATCCGAATTCCCTCCTTCCACCCTCCCCAAATTTTTCTGGATGAGTCCCGGACCAGAGTGCTGCCCTGACTTCACAGGTTCCCACCGACCGTCAGACAGCTCTCCTGCCGCCCTCAGCGATTAGCGGAGAGCGTGTGAAATGCCTCACACCCGCTCAGAAGGGGGATACTGCGAGCAGCGAACTGGCGAGCTGCGCCCCGAGACAAAGATGCTCCCGAGCTCAGGCTGAGCCCCGAGCCCAGGCTGAGCCCCGAGCCGTGCCTGCTGCCCGTCCTCCCGCCGCCTCCCCGCCACGCAACCTGTTGCCGGGGCCGCCAGCGCGACCCGCCAAACGCAGAAGGACGGCCGGGGAGAAGAGAGAGGCCGAGCGGGCTCAGCCCACGCGTGGCGCGACCGTCGCACGGAACCAGTGCCCAGCCCGTGGCAAGAACATCAGACGCAGCCCCTCTGCCCCTCTCCCCCACGCACGGCCCCGCAAATACACGCAGCAGCTCGGGTCCGAGCTTAGCCTAAGGAGAAACTCCAGCCGCGGAGAAAACCTTGCCGGAGCGGAGCTGCGAGGGGCAAACGAGGGAGCTGCGAGGGTACGGGGCCGTCTCCGGCAGCGGGGCTCCAGCTGGCGGCGAGGCTCGCACGCCGGCTGCGATTTCTCTCCCCTCGGCATCTCTCGGCGCTCCCGTGCCACGCCCGCACCCTCGCCCGCTGCCCCGCGTTTTCCCCCGGAGCGCTGTCCCCCACCCCGGCGGTCCCGGCGCTTCCCTCGCTGCTTCTCGGGAGCCTCCGCGGGCTGCGAGAGGGAGAGGATTTTAAAGCGGGCTGCGTGCCTGCCCCCCTTCCGCCCCCTCCGCACGCAGGGAAAGCAAAGGAAAAAGTTGCGCTCTCCGGCCGCCCACGCCGTCGCTGTCCGCCCCGCGGCGGCGGCAGGACGAGCCCGGTGGCGGGTCCGGTGTATCGGTACCTGTGCCACCGATGCCTTGCCGGGCCGTCTCCAGGGGGAAGATGCCAGCGCACTTCTCCCGCTCCACCTGCCCGCCCAGGCACAGCTCCGAGATGATCTGCAGAGCCTTGTGGCAGAGGCTGCCCACGCCGTCCTCCGCCTGGAAACTCATCTTCTGCACCGGCCGGCCGCCCGCTTAGGCCATGGCCGGAGCGGGACGGCTCCGCGCCCGACCCGCGCTGCCTCCCGCGGGGAGCGGAGCGGGGCGGAGCGGCGGCGGCGGCGGCGGGAGCGGCGCGAGTGAACCGAAGAAGTAGTGAAGGAAGGGGCGAGGGGGGGGAGACACACAAAAAAAAAAGGGGGAGGGAAAAATAAAAAGGGGGGGGGAAATAAACATCCACTTAGCAACGCCTTTTGTGGCTCCGGGCTCTGGCAGGAGGCTCGGCCAATGGCAGCCCGGTGCGGGGGGCGGGGGGCCCTCGCATCCCCCGGGAAACTTTTCCTTCCCCCGCCCTACGGCTCCGGTCGGGGCGCGGCGCGGTGCGGTGGGCGGTGACCTCGGTCAGGGGCTGTGCGGGCACGGGCGGTGCGGGGCGGTGCGGGGGCTGCGCTGGGGCCGGCGGGCGGAACCCCGTCCCCTTCCCCGCGACAGGACCCCTCGTTCTTCCCCTAACGCTGTTTCTGAGGTGACCTGGGCAGTGCGATCTTCAACACGGTCTGTCGAGCCACGTCAGATAACTTCATTAACCAAATCGCCACCTCCATTCCGCTTCCCTAGCAGCAGACTTACCGAACAGTTGACTTCGGCTATTTCTTTAACTTATCAAGGAGTTAGAGGAACCTTGCGGTTGTCTTGTCTATTTCCTCAACAAGTTCTGTAAAGTTGGATTATTTTATAGATAAAAAGTTCTGGCGTGTACCTGAACATACTTCTGAAAATCAGCACAGCATATGCCGCTAGTGGCTGTTTCAGTTATTGTCTGTGGAGCTGTCTGACTTTAGCTGTCAATTTGTTGATATACTTACTGAAATTCTGATACATTTTTATATTTGTGAAGGAAAATTCTTCTAGTTCGATGGCATACATATGCCTTGCAATACGTAAGTCTAATTAGGCATAGTTGAAGGACGTCTACTAGCAGTTTACTTAGCAGCTAAGTAAACTACTACTGCCTGTAGTCTACTGCTTGAGTGTCTTGGTTTCATAAAAATGAGTAGTTGTGTGCTGTTGTGTTTTGGTTTTCCCCTCTGGATTTTGATTTTTTTTTCCCGTTACCTGTAAATTAACAAATTTAACAAACTGTAAAGTTTAACAGTCAAAAGCTTTATAACCATCTTTAAATAACTGTAAATTATTAAATGATACAATAAATGATCATTCCAGTTTTAATTCTGGAATTCTGCACTTAATGTAGTATAGACACTTGTTAAAAACACAAGATGATACTTCTCAAAAACAGGCTTTTGGCATTTTGAAGGTTCATGCATTTATGCATATGAATTCATACACATGCATTTTTCAGACTCTTAGGAAAGTAATAGACTGTGTTGTATACAAACTGTAACATCTGTTCCATAGAGCTTTTTCACAGATACAAAATGTATTTCAGAAATATCAGATGCTACTAAAGAAATCATTCCCTGAGACTGGCATTGTCAAAACCCTGTGTTAAAGCTGCAGAATGTTCTGACAAATCTTAGAATGTTTAGACTGTAATTAGTTAGGGCACAGAACTGTGTAGGTTTATTTGAAGACTCCTTTAACCCTCATAGGGACTTAGATCTGTATAATTATCTCATTAAAGTAAGTTTGCTAGCAATAAAAAGGTATCTGCATATTTTCATTACAGTGAAGGCAAGTGATGCCTACATCCAAACTTCAAAATATGAACATATTTACTGTCTGTGTGACATTTACAGTCCTGTCCTCAAAATTCTGTCACGCATCACCAACTAATAATTAAGCAGTCTGTTTATCATTGAGGCATACCCAGAACTCTAGCAAAAGCTAGCAGGAGATGCATGCACAGACTGATGACGAAAGGGTCTTAAACAGAGATTGGTTTTAATGAGAGTAAGGGCTGCATCTAAAGGCTGGGAGCTAAGCTCTTCCACTTCTAAACTTTCCTATAGACTGTGTCCATGGATGTATCACACAGTCCATGAATGAAATTTTCTGTCTCTGAAGTTACTGGCAGTTTTGCCACTGATTATAGTAGAGTCAAAGTTTTGCACATGGATCACTTTGCTACCCTACGTGTTTATTTAAGCAGCAAGGCTTTGGTGCATTCTTATATTGTTCATCTTTGCACACAAGAACTTCATTTCAGTGAAGATCATACCACCTTACTACTATTGGTAGTATTGATAAGTAGATAGATACAGAAAAGCACAAGCAGGAATATCCTACATAGGTAAAATAAAATTAAAACAAACAAACAAACAAACCAACCCCCAAAATCCAAACCAGCATTTAAAGACTGAGATTTGCAGATAGATAGCTGGAGACTGGTACCGCACTCTTATCTCTCTTAAATGTCCTAAGTATTTTAAAAAATGCTTTTAGGTATATAGAAAATACCAGCTACACTAAGCAGTATCACTGTATCTTTATCAAAGGCATCACTGTCTAAACCCCATTCTTCAGTAAGGAGCATGGACATAAGCTTAAATTCATCAGCAAAATAGTTTTTCTCAGTCTAAGTGTTATGACATTACTTTCTCTAGGAGATTAATGATTCTGCTGGTGAGATATGCTCACAAACTTGTCCTAAACCAGTTCCAGACAAAATTTTTGTTGTTGGAGTCAAGTTATTGATGAAGGAAATGCTTCACTTTTCTATTGAGGAGGGTAGTCTGAAATGTGAATTCAGATTAGGAATCATGGAATTTTTCTCCAATCTGTTCTTTCAGTGGAAAACTACTTTTTCTGCATGTGAAAGGATATAACAGCTTGTTTTCTAGCTTCAACTCCCACTGTTCTGATTTTCAATAGCATTGCAGTTTTTAAATGAATATGCAGTTGCATTGTGTGCGCTCGTATGCACAAAGACCATTAATTTCCCCCTTGGAAGTGCTCTCAAGTCTGTGTCACCACACATGATGTTTTAGGACACAGTGAACTCATGCCTCATAGCTTCTGGTCAGTGGGATCAGACCAGACTGTATCAACCCTTGCTGTATTGGTTGATGGTCATTACCATTCAAACTAGCTTGACTGCTTTTTGTTGATTGATGTTGATTAAGGAAGAAGATTTCCCTTCTTTCAAATTAGTTGGATTGTATCCACATCTTCACACTGTCCATGCAATATTCAACTAGGGATTAGGGTACTGTGCTTTGGACATGGCACAAATACCCAGTTTTGTAAGATGTATCCTTGAACAAACACTGTGTTGGGAGTTTTGGAAGTTTAGTCAATATAGGTGGCCTAAAGGCAGATAAGGTTCGGAAGTCTTTCAGAGTTAAGCTGCACTACTAAACATAAGGCTACAAATTACCTGGTGTAAATGAGTGGAGGGCTAGTAATTTCCAAAGGAAGAATAGATTGGTCTGGTGAGTACTGAATCAAAAGTACTTTTTCTTCTGCAGATGATGATAAGCAGGTGTAAGAGTAGCCACAGCAGTGGTACACTCTGCAGTTCATAGCTCTTGGCCACTTTCTGAAGTGAATTTCTGTCTGACATTCAGCTAGAGTGCCAGTGTACCATGCCAGAAATGTCAACACCACACAGTAGTCTCTGACTGCATTCGTAGCCATGCCTGCAAGCAGAGGCTGGCTCTGAGGGCACTGCTGGGCATGGCCAAATGGAAGCTTTGTAGAATTACCAAGGGAGAACCATGATTTGTTCTTCAGTCTTCAACAGCTCCCTGCTGTGCTTCTCGTGCATCATGCTTGTTCATTTTTGCATAAGAACTTGCTCTGTAGTTCTAATAAGAGAACAGCCTGGTCTTACTTGGAACCTTCAAGTGTTTCTTTTTACCTCAGATTAGATTTTGGCCTTGGTCTCTTAATTTGGAATTTAATAAGGATACCAAAAAAAGCATCCGGGCGTGGGGAAAAGGAACATTTCAACAATCAGCTTTTAAGAAGCTATGAGTAAAAGAAAAAAATGAAAACATTGATTACAAGCACAGTTTGTCTTGCAACATTTACAAATACTTTTTTTTATACTGTGATAGTATCTCCATCATTTTAAATCCCTTATAAACAGTAAAATAAACCCTGAAACCTTAAAGATTGCTTTACTCTATATACATATTTTTAACCCTTTAATTTTGAGTAAGAAGTGAAAACGAAAAAGAAAAAAAAGAGAGCTATCTGATAGGCATTGTTACAGTTACACAGCAATCCAGGAGACAGTCAAAGTGGAATGTTCCTAACCCGCAAATTAGAGAGGAAGGACCCTTCCAGTAAAGGTGTTAATAAAAACAGACTGAAACATCATGTCAGCTGGATATGGGAATGCTGCTGTTCTTTGCATCCTAGCTGAACAAAGATCATTTTGATCAATGATAGTCTGCTGATGAGGTGAAAGGCCAGCACAGGAATCCAACACATGAAATCATGCCCTTCCTTCTTGTGGCATGAAAAAGTAAATGCTTGGCATCATTTTGTCACCAGAGCAAAGATTGAATCGGTTGAGAGAGGACTTCCAGCTTTTTGAATATTTAGAACTACCTCCTTGGAAGAGGACTGAGGCTTGGGGCTACAGCAGTGAAGGGCCAGTGTGAGTTCTCATTTTCCAGCAGTCTTCAGGCTGTTCCTGTGACTTTGAGGGAGGTACTTAATTTCCCAGAGTTAGAAGCTATAGCATGATGGTAGTAATTCTTTCTGGCATCCTTTATTTTTCTTTTCTATGTAAGATTTGAACATGGATGAACAAGGAATTTACCTTAGTTTTAGAAGTAATACCAAAAAAAGTTTAATTTTTTTTTCTACCATTCAATTTGCTCTTCTTGGTTCCACACTTTTATAATAACTGGTACAATAAAGTCCTCATATGGGTTGCTTTTTCCAACTTTCAATTTGCTGTGAATAAAAACCATAATCATAAAGAGAGCCCCCAGTATTTTGCCCTAAGAGATGCTTCCTTGATTTTCAGAAATGTGGAACAACTATTACTTTTTTTCCATTTTATTTTTTTTTCAGCAACCATTATTTTTTTCCAC